TCTAAACGAAAGCAGTTCACTGACCTGTTTTTCTTGCAACGCTGTGTGGAGTTCTTGCTCCATCTCAGCAGTCTTGCTTTGTGCTACTCTCAACGCTTCCTCTTTTTCCAACAAGCACTGTTCTAGCTCCTGTGGATTCGAAATCACAACAAACCATGACATACACACGTAAGGACACAAAACAAGGTCTCCTGGTTAGCTCTGGTGTAAAAATGCCAGTCAGGGCTGCAAGTTAAGAGTGCGATCCCTGTTGAACTTAGAGTTACTACGTGAATAAATGCATAAATTTCGAAGGTCGTCGTTCCAAATCTGTCTTAATCTCCCCATATATCATTCTCAATCGTTTTTCAGTCTTTTCACTAACCATATGTAACAAATATTTGTCTTTTTATATTTATGATACTCCCTAATGTAAACACTGTAAATATTACACGACAAAGACGTTGAAGTTGAAGTTGACTTAGTAAAATATTATTTTGTAAGGTTTTCTTTCATTTGAAGGCAATTTTGTGTATCACAACAACTGACTTGTTTAGCGACTTAGGACCTCTATCCGGCACAACTGAGAAAGAAGGTGCTGCCTTGGTTCTTACAACAGCAAGCGCTCAGACCTCGTAATAGCTCGTATAGATACGTCAATATGGCCTGCTTCGCAAGTCTCCAACAAATTAATAATAATCTGATGAAAATGGGCTACCCATCGAGAGTGCACTGAAACCTATAACAGCGGTCAGCCTCAGTGACAATAGTGTAGTCATCGTGGAATGCTCTTTAAAAGGGCTGTTGTACGAACGCTAACACAACTTCAAAGTAAAAAAAGGTCAAGTACCGTCGGTGAATTTTCGCATTCGGCAAAGAAAATTCTCGAATGGCACTTAGACATGTTTTCTGTTGCATCCTGTCTCTATAGAAACAAATCAGCTTAAGAATATTAAGATGTTTTTGAGCCGGCATTTTACATGAAATCATGCGAGTGAAAAATATATTTCAACTAAGGTCCTCGCGATCTTGACACTGTTTCAAGGTTTAACATTCATAGCGTTTAGGAACTGTCGGTTATCTCGAATGAAATCCTTTGGTTATTACTTCTTGAAACCAAAATACTGCTTAAAGATATGAGAG